ACACAGAGGTCAGCCAAGGGGAACCGCAGCTGGTTTGCCTAGTTTAACAATAGGCTGATAAAAAGCACTAAGAAAGTCAGAACAAACTAAAATTTCACACAATGACTTGTTCATACAGCTCCAGACACTGAAAGGTAAGTGCAGCGTTTCTATCCCACTTGATTTATGTTATAATGATATGGTTAAAAATGAGAAAGTATGGACAGAGGTCAGCCAAGGGGAACCGCAGCTGGTTTGCCTAGTTTAACAATAGGCTGATAAAAAGCACTAAGAAAGTCAGAACAAACTAAAATTTCACACAATGACTTGTTCATACAGCTCCAGACACTGAAAGGTAAGTGCAGCGTTTCTATCCCACTTGATTTATGTTATAATGATATGGTTAAAAATGAGAAAGTATGGATTTCTTTTCAGTAATGGTGTGCTGTGGCACGTTTTTGTATTTTTATGTCGGCTGTTGTAAGCAAGAAATGTGGGTCCGGAGGACAAATCAGATTTCGGAAAGGGGTACAGTAGTCTGGAAAAGTTAAAAGTAACACAAGAAAAACGATGCATTCCCCCTGAGTGTCCTATAGAGGAAGATAGAGAGCTTCTTTTCTTTCTACACCATCTCCATCTGAAGTTTAACATCAGAATATAAAATTCTGGGCATGCGAAAAGAAAACATTTTTTTTAAAATAGCCAGTCCAAAAAAATTATGTTGACAGTATCCTCTTAAATATACGTAGTGTGCAACAATAGTGAAATAATTTAGGTGCTGCGTAGAAACGCACATAATTGCTGAGAGTTCATACTGTAATTCAGCTGCAAACCTGTATATAATACTAATCTCTGTTGAGATATGTAAGGGGTCTGGGTAATAGCTACCATGGAAATGGGGGTACAGCCTGGGTAGGCACTGTCCCTGTTGATTTGTAGACATGTTATTATATTTTCATGCCTCCTTGGGATAGATAAGCACATAACGGTACCAGGGATGTAACTTTTCATGAATGCTCTGTGTGTTAACAATGCTATCTTATCTGTTCCCTTACCCTCTTATCTGTTCCCGTTCGCTCTGAAGTATACATTCAGGGTCACATCTCCTTCCCCCTTGTAAGTCGCTGATTAAAGGGGTTTTGTGCTGTGAGAATTACTTACATCAACTAAAAAACTGTACATACAAGGTGTGCCTGTGGTTAATTTGTTGCTCACTCCGATCCCAAGGTTGTGAGGGAGATCCTAGATGGAATGAGTGTGCAATAAAGGAACCCTTTTAACCCATCCATGTCTGGTTCACCTGCTCTTTTCTAACAACCTCCTGTTTGAAAAGCACTTTGAGATCCGCTGATGAAAAGTGCTGGGAACAGCACACAGTATTTTTCACTATGGATCTGCGGGACTATAGAATAATACCAAGCGCTTATATTGCACCTTTCATCAGCAGATCCCAAAGTGCTTTCAAGCTATATTTATATCCACAGACATAAAATAAACAGTATGATACTATAGTGCAGTGGTCCCCAACATTTTGAGGTTGTCGGGCGCCAGGGGGCGTGGCCGTTCGCCCGCCGGGCGCCAGGGGGTGGGGACACTTGCGCGCCCGGGGGCGCCCCCCCCATAGCCGCATGCCCGGGGGCGGGGCCCCCCATAGCCACGCACCCGGGGCCGGGGCCCCCCCATAGCCACGTGCCCGGGGCCAGTGCCCCCTCCAAGCACCACATGCCCAGAGCGCGGGCGTCCAATCCGCAGCGCTCCCGGGGCCGGCGCTCACTGTGCGCCATGTGCCCGGGGTCGGCTCCAGCACCGCGCATGCGCCACGTGCCCGGGGCCAGGCCAGCCCCGAGCACTTGGC